GGTGCCTTAGCCACTTGAGCCACAGGCGCCAAGGGGAGCCAGATTAATTCTTGTGGGGGAGGGAGTACCCTGTGTAAGCTGTAGGCTATTCAGCAGCATCCCTAGCCTCTACTCACAAAATGCCAGTTGAATTAGCCTCCAGATTTGACAACCAAAATTATCTCCAAACATTACCAAACATCCCCTGGGGAACAAAATTACCCTGATTTGATATCCACTGCTCTAAATGTATACTAAAGTTATCTGTAAAAGCAATTAAAACCAAAATCAATTAAAATTATGTAACTGAAATGAGACTGAAGTTTTTTTATGTCATATCTCAGAAAAATAACAAGATACAACTTTTATCAAGTAGTTACTATAGGCTAGCTCTCATTACCCGTTATAAAACACATGTATATGAACATTATCTTCACAAATAATTTTTTAATGTGTCTTACTACACCCACTTTACATATGGAATAGCAGGCTTATAATAGTTGAGTAACTCACCCAAGATCACATTTCAAGCACTGAGTTAAACCTATAAAGAATTCAGAGGCTGGGCAGCACTTGTGGCTCCTTGAGTAGGGCATCGGCCCCATATACCAAAGGTGACAGGTTCAAACCCAGCCCTGGCCAAAGTGCAACGAAAAAATAGCCGGACATTGTGGCGGGCACCTGTAGTCCCAGCTACCTGGGAGGCAGTAGCAAAAGAATCTCCCAAGCCTAAAAGCTGGAGGTTGCTCAAGTGAGCTATGATGCTACCGCACTCTATCAAGGGTGACAAAGTGAGACTCTGTCTCTAAAATAATAATAAAGTTAAAAAAGAAAAAAGAATTCACAGTCCTTGTGCAGCACCCGTAGCTCAGTGGGTAAACTGGCAGGTTCAAACCTGGCTGAGCCAGCTAAAACACCAGTAACTGCAACAACAACAACAAAATAGCCAGGTGTTGTGGCGGTGGCCTATAGTCCCAGCTACTTGGGAGGCTGAGGCAAGAGAATAGCGTAAGCCCAAGAGTCTGAGGTTGCTGGAAGCTGTGACACTTTACCAGAGCACTCTACGGGGGAGACAGCTTGAGACTCTGTCTAAAAATAAAAAAAGAATTCACAGGCCAGAGGCCAGGTACAGTGGCTCACACCTATAATCCTTGCACTTTGGGAGGCCAAGGTGGGTGGACTGCTTGAGGGACAAGTTTGAGACCAGCCTGAGCAAAAGCGAGACCCTATCTCTTAAAAATAGCCAGGCATTGTGGTAATCCCAGCTACTTGAGCCCAGAGTTTGAGGTTGCTGTGAACTATGACGCCAGGCCACTGAGGGCAACAAAGTAAAGACTGTCTCAAACAAAGAAAAAAGAATAATAATTCATAACCCTCACCAAAGCACCATAAATCCCACCTTCCAGGTGATATACCTGCATCACTCTGCACAATGAGTATAATTTTAAGTTCTTAATACAAGAAATGTAAGAAGTGGCTCGGCACCTATAGCTCAACCGGCTAA